GGAGGATTTACGCACACTTTGATGTCATAAAATCTAAATATATTTTAGTGTGTCAGATACTGTATAGCTTTCCTAAATACATACATACAGATTCAATACGTAGCACATCTTAAAATCGGGTTATAAACAAAATAAGAAGATTAAAAACTCCCTTTTGGCTGTTTTAGGACGTGCCTAGGACGAACATTTTCATCACGCTAAGAATTCTGACAATCGCTACGCTAAATGTTCGTCACCAAAAATTCTCTATATAAAAAGCACTGGGGCCTAAAAGTATACAACATGAAAAGTAGCTCTGGCAGTATGAGGAGCATTTAACTAGACGAATCGGCTATTCTTTTGGAGATTTTTAGCGATCAAATTATCTGACCATCTACCCATTGTCATCCCGATTGATAAACCTGCCAACTTTGCTTGCGCAGAACACCGAACCTATGCCAACTTTTCTAAACCTGATTGGAACGGCTTCAAGGAAGTTACTGAAATCACCTTCTCTGGCGTGCCCACACCAATCGACCTTCACGTAGGTGCGCGTAAGTTCCGCAGTATCGTCACTGTTGCTGCCGCTAGCTTCGTCCCAGCCGGTTGTATTACGGACCCCCGTCCGAAATTTCCTGCTGAAGCGGCTGTTCTAGCCGATGAGCGTGACTACCTTCGTCAATCCCAGAAGTCTCAATACGGAGATTCGGCAGCTTGTGAACGTACATAAGCGGAAGAAGTGGGAAGAGCATCTGAAGAATTGTAACCATACCTCTGGTGTGAGTAAGCTTTGGTTAACCGTGAGGTTACTATCCAATCCGACGAAGCACGCGGACAGAGTCAACCACTAGAAGGAGTCTCGATTGTCTTTTATGCAGACGATTGTTCGATAATGGCGTCTGGGAATGGAATTGATCACTTGTGCTCGAAAGTAAACGGTTACCTCTCCGAGCCTCCAGCTCCCCTAAAAAGACCTCAGCTTCCCTTTTTACCACCTGGACGAAGGTGGTCAGACTGCAACTGGGTATTCACGTCGATGCCGAACCAATCCCGACGAAAATCTTCGGAGTTATCTTCGGCAGTCTGCTCTCTTTCTCTGCGCACACAACCGCAATTGTCAATAAACTGCAAAGCCTCGCGAGCCGGTAGCGCCTGGGGCAAAGGCGAAAAAACGTTGATGGCAAAAAACAAGGCAATTGGCTGGCCGTTTCTAAACTACGTAGCACCAGTGTGGTCGCCGGGGATCAGTAGGACGCAGTGGATGAAGCTACAGACTACACAGAAAACAGCACCCCGTACAGCGAGCCGATGTCTTCTGATGTCGCTACAACATCATTTACATAACGAGGCGCAAATGCTCTCCATTAGGGAGCACAACAGAATGCTCTGCAAGCAATTCTTAGTAGGGAACCCCAGACGCGTGTACCCGAACAGACACTTGCTTGCGGAGGAGCCCTCGCCAAGGCACGTCAGAAGGCATCTGTACGAAATGACGGACGAAGTCGAGAGATTCATAAAGAAACCTATGGACCCGACAGCATATCGACAGGCCTTGAGTGGCACTCACAGGGAGTCGGTCTCAAGTTACGCAGACTCCAGACCTTTGAATGCCGTTCTGGGCACACAACCACCTGACGTGGACGAGGATACTGCGGCAGGTTGAACTCGTACCTGTGCAGACTGGATACAGATGTGCCCCATGAGTGCCCGGCATGCGGAGAGACACCCGACGACTCGAAACATCACTTCGCATGCCCACTAAACCCCACTCAACTAACGCCTCTGTCCCTATGAAGGGAATCTATAGAGGCTGCACGCTTCGGTATCCCGTTAGTTGAGCTTGGCGACAAGGATTGAGGGCCTAGCCAATCTGGGCAGGGTTGTTGTAGCCGCTACAACAACAACATCATAACTTAAGAAATTATGCACTCTTTCGCTTTTGAGCAATTTTTTATAATTCAATATCTTGTTTTATTTTCCTTCAAGACAGACAAGTTTTGAGCATTTTACCACTATTAAAATTAAATAAAAAGTAATTGCTTGCGTCGGCGTTGCTTTATTAAGATAAAGAACGGCTTAAAAAAAAAACACAAACAACGATTTAATAATTTTGTGAATGAATGGAAGGAAAATATGTGCGTGGCTGGCTAATCGTAGGACTCGAAAGGTCGTTGGGCTTAGCCGAATGTCAGTGACACATACATACATACATGCATACATACTTACTTTTACCATTGCAGTACCTGCAACACACTTTAACTATTTAAGTATGACTGATAAGTCAAATTTAGGATAACAACAGCAATTAGGATCGCATCAAGGTATTGCCTTGATGTATGTATGTAGTACATATCTGTATGGCTTTGTCCAGACTGGTTGCACGCTCGCTGCCAGAGGCGCGGTCATTTTGAAGTGTCTAATTGATTTCACAGCAGGTATACACGAAATAATTGGTACAATACATTGTGGCACATTCTAGCAGATGAGTGAGTAGCGTCCGTAAAACAGGTACTTCGGGATACATTTGCTGACGCCGCACCGGCCGCACACACACACACACACCATGCCGGAAGTAAATATCGGAAATTTGCTTGTTATCTTTGAGAATTTATTGCTTTACAAATTGCTTGAAAACTAAAACCCTACAATTAAGTTAGTTGAGTTCGCAGTCCGTTTATTTTAGACGCCTTAGACAATGCCGTCGGTTGGCACGCAACATAATCGCTTAGACATTTATGACAATATCTTCTCGAATGCGTATATTCATTTACAGCTATATTAAGAAATGCATTTCATATGCACTCTACTTGCAGCTGCCTTTCCCATAACCCGTCGCATTGGCCATCCATATCAAAATCGTACACCACCAAAGCGGAAAAAGCCCCGCACCTCTTTCACACGCATTCAAGTGGCTGAACTGGAGAAACGTTTTCACAAGCAAAAATATTTGGCGTCCGCGGAACGAGCGGCATTGGCGCGCGGCCTTAAAATGACCGATGCTCAAGTTAAAACCTGGTTCCAGAATCGTCGCACGAAGTGGAGGTAAGTGTTTCTTTTTAAAAAGTAAATTATATCGTTTAACAAAAATTTGCGTCCTGACGAATGACTTTGGCCTTTAATTTTGATTGAAAGGGGTATTGAAAATGTAGTTCGAAAATTTTCTTTTTATACCAAAATGCAAAAATTTTTATGGTAAAAATATGGCATGAAGTTATAAAATTTGTCTATGCTTGCAGCACCTTTAAGTTGTTTTCTTATAGTATCTTATATTATATACGCGAATGGAAGCTTTAAATCGATTTCATATGCATGTAGTTATAATTGCCAACAGTGACGTGTGTCCCAAAACGCGAGGACTTTTATGTGTTGCCAGGGGGTCTCACACCCCAGCCATATTGCTGTTCTCACCTCGTCTTGGTCAAGTGGAGGAACGTGAGCTTCGTCCCTATACATTGGGTCGGGTTCTTCTTCTTCAAACGCGCCACCCGTGTTGCCATTCAGAAGCTTTGAGAATTGTTCCCTCCATATCTCAAGTGTACTCTGGACATCTGTTACCAAATTGCCGTTTTCATCTCTACAGGAACCAGCCCCGGTCTTGAAACCATTTGATTGCTGCCTTATTTTCTGATAGCATTTTCGAGTCGAACTCCTGTCTGCCGGCATCTGAAGCTCTTCGCATTCACGTCTTTCTGCCTCTCGTTATTTTCTCTTGAAAAGGCGTCTATCTTCATTCCTTTTTTCCCGGTATCGCCCAATTGTCTCGCGTGTTTTTCTGCAGCAGCCGCGCGGCACTCTTCCTCATACCAGTTGTTTCTGCGCGGTTTGTAATAACCATAAACCTGTGCCGCAGCGGTGCGAAGTAATTGGGAGATGAAGTTCCAATGCTCATTTATGACTAGGCCATGAGGAATTGCTTTATTAGGCAGAATTGAGAGTCGATTGCTACATTTTTCGGATGTTCGTTGTGACTGGAGCTTTGCGTCGTCGAACTTTAGCCGCGTTGCCTGACGCTCGTTTTTATTGCACAGAGCGCATGCGGTCCTTAGCGGCAACTCATCCGTGTCTTCCGGCTATCACAACATGATCAATTTGGTTCTTCGTTCTTTGATCAGGGGACACCCAAGTAGATTTGGGGATGTTTCGATGCTGTTGTCTGGTACTACTAACTACCCTTGCCCGTGTCGTGGCAAAGTCGATAAGCCTCTCTCCGTTGTCGGAGATGTTGTAATGAAGGCGGACCTTGGCGTTGAAGGCGTCAAGCACGATTTTATTATCGTGGCGGGGGCAGCGGTCATACGCCTGTCCCATATGCTAACAGAAAAGCTCCTTAGTCTCATTGTCCTTCTCTTTCGTCGGGGCATGCAAACTAATTTTGCTTATCTAATTAAATTTTGCCTTTATGTGGATTGTGGCAATTCGCTCACCGATGGAGGTGAACCTGGAGATTTATTTGCCTTCAAATAAAAAAAGAACCTCCAAAATCGGTTAAGAATTTGACGCTCAACACTATTTTGAACCCTACCAGACCAGTGCACTATGGGCCAGCAGCTCGTCAAAAGTGGCAAACATAGGAAGCCATTGATCGATTTTAATCAGACTTCGACAGAGGGGGTTTTGGGCTCGCTGATTACGAATCTGACATCAGGTTTAAAAAATTTACCTTGGTGGATCCAATAAGGCGGATGACAAACAAAATAAAACGGTTATATTTTTACGAAACTATCCATAGGGAGCTTTTTGGAGTAGTACGAATCTAAAGTCAGATTTTGAAAATTCGAATTGACATTTTGTATGAGAAGTAGGGTGGATGTGAGACTGTTTCTCGAGTTTATGCTAAAATAAAAATTTCATTCAAGTCACGTAATTTTGAGTGTTTGTGAGAAAATTTTGTGGTAATGTTTCAGTCAACGAATCTTTGTCATATTTAAGATTTATGCTTTGTAGAAGAAGAAAAAGTAATCTTTAAACCACATTTAATCAAAATCGGGTGATTTTTTACATATCCCCTCTCAAGAATAAAGAGCCTGTCTTTACGATATTTCACATTTTTCTTTTGCCAAGTAAACTGGTTTACTATTTTTGTCTTCCTACCTATAAACTCTACTCTCTACTCTTGTAAGAGCACTGATCTTTTCTTAGAGACTAGATTAGATGGCGTTTTGGGCTGGAGGGCCGTCAATCTAAAACATCGGTGTCCTTTTGATGTAGCCAATTTCGGATAAACTAGGTGTAACAATATAAATATTGATCGAGAACCATTATGATAAAATAATCCCTTAACATAATTGGAAAAATACCGCACCGAAGGCAAAAGATTTTCTTTTATTTTGATCACAAACATAAATATTCACCAAGGCTTTATTACACCTTTGTGCTTAAGCAATCAGTATCATTAAGTTGTTATGAATGAAGTTTGTAAAATTGTATTAAAGAAAAGCTAACAAGAGCGTCAAAATTTTTCAAAACAAAATCCAACCAAATACTCGCTCACAACTAACGTTGCTTATTTTTTTGCAGTTGCCAACAGAAATGACAAAAATAAAATGAATCGCACCGGCATTTAATATGTACGAGCGTACCTATAAAATGAAAAGTGTAAAATGAAAATAGGCATTTTAAAAATTCATGAACACATTAAATGGGAAACAATGGAAAATGCCACATCTCAATTTGTTTCAACCGACCGTTTTGCCACTTTTTCTCTACTTCGCTGAACGCTTGCTTTGCTACGCCACGCAAGAGTTTCTCAACTTATTCGACGGCGAGGGGTATGGGAGTTGAAACGCTCGCTTCTGAAAGTGAGTACAAATTTGTGCACAATTTTTGTTGAAGGCGTGTGAGTAGGCGGAGGAGGGTAGTTATGGCTTTCAACGCTTCCATTTGCAACCCTCAAAAATTCAAAAATACGAGTAGAAAGAAAAAAAAAAAACAAAATAAGTAAAATGCCACGGAAAAAGGGCTTACAAATGGCGGCTAAAATGTAGTACATAGTACATAATAATTTCATGGCATTACTGGCGTTACGAAAGCACGCACAACCACATTTAGGGCTTACGTTGGAAAATCACCGATTTTGAAAAGGCTAAATTATTTAATGTGGGCAAAAGTGTTTAATGCAATACATAGCAGGATGTTTATTTATGTATGCGTTTGGAATGGTTTGGACGCCTACCAATTTTTTTTTGGGGGGGGGGGGCAGGGGCGAGATTTAACGCAGTCCCTTCTCAAGCAAAACGGTAAAACCTAAGAAAAAAGGGAAAATTTGTTGAAAGACATCGATCAAGGGAATGTTGGGTACTAGTTAGGAAAATAACAAAAAAAAAATAAAATAACTGTTATTGCATAACAACGTAAATATGCTAAAATTAAACAATTATAAGTTTGTACATTTGTATGTTTGACGACGAACGGTGCGACGAGAGTGGTTGTGCCACAGCGACTAATGCGGTAAGCAAACACATTAACATTTTAATGGCCAGTGTTCACTCAATCGTCGCATTTACAGAGGAAATGGCCGCTGATTACAATGGTGGACATTTTTTCCCCCCATTTTATTGCACAGGCCGTTGTATGTGCATAGCTGTTTATTTATTATTTTTTCAATTATTATTTGTGTCACCCTGCCTCATTTCACATTTCACTAAATTATCCCCTTGGACTGTTCGAGCTTAATTTGTAGCTCATTAATTTCTTTTCTATGACATTAAAGCCATGTGGGCACCCGGCTAAATTACCATGTGTATGTTTGTGGCACGCAATTGCTTTAAATTTCTTGATAAATTCATTGTTTGCATTTGATTGGGAAACTTTGTTTTTCCTTACCGCTTTTTTCTATTAAAAAATCATTAGATTATACATTTGGCACAGGTAGTTAACGGTTGACAGCTGTCATCAAGCAGGAGTATTGCATGTTTGCTCACTTACGTATGTATGTAGCTAAACTTTTACTTTGCATGTGTCGCCACAATATTGCCGCTCATGTTGCCGCATTTGATTTTGTATGTATTTTTTTTGTTTCTGCTTTTTTTGTTAATAAATTAAGTGTATTTAACATGCAAGCAATTCCGCAAAACTACGGGTTGGCACGAGTAAATCTGTAAATCACAACAATTCGAGATATTGAACCGATAGTTGGAAATAAATTGCCGGCACTTTCAATTAATCGCCGCACAAATTTCTTGATTCACTGAATAGTAAAACTACATAAGTGTGTATGTATGTACATACCAATATAAATACATAACATAATCTCACTCATATGTATGTACATGCATATTTTCAACTTTGTATGCAAATGTTGCGTGCAAATTGCACATTACAAAACATTCGATTAGTTTCAATTTTATTGTATTTTTTGTGTGCGAAATTAACTTTTCAATTAAAGAAATAAAAAACCGCAAATGATTATAAAAGCGTGGATTTATATCAATCAAATGAGTAGCTTTTCATCGATTTCATTTATTATACATACATACATACATACATACATATATGCCTATATATATATCTACATACATTGATTGACATAATTAGCTAATGATTATGGACAAAAGTTAATTGAAATTAAAATTGAGTTCATTAAAATTTTTGAAATTCTATTTTTTCAAGGAAAAATTTCCACATTTAATTGTAATTGACATACATATTAATGTTACGACATATTTGATTATTTTTAAAGTAGCATTTAAATGAAGCATTTAAAAGTATATTACGGTTAAAAATGTCTAACCGAATTAAATAGTTTTTTTATTATTCGTCGGGCACACGTGTTAAATATTTTCTCAAAACAAATGAACATAATTAAACATTGAATATTTTTAGAAGACTATATTTCTCTTAACGCTTGCAAAGGCACTTGGCCAAGACATAAATTGATTTTATGTGCATAAAACTCAACGCCCCACAATGGTACAGCTCCATACATTTTTTGTAAAAAATTAGGAGTCGGCGTAAATCCTCAATTTTCCGTATTTAACATTTATGGGCATAAAAAAGAACGAAAAATGTGCGTGACCGATTTAGTTTAAAGCATATCTCCCATA